AGAGCCCAGCTCTCGGCTCTCCACTCTAGCCCAGAAGGACCGGCTTCTTGCCATAGTCTCAATGTCTTGGTACCTGCCACCCCTCGATGGTCAGCACTGCGCCACATTCTTTATGCTGCTCAGAGCTCTTGGGAGCCCTGGGCGCAAATTGCTTTCCAGAACCCCCTTCTCCAGATCATGTTTCAAGAACCACAGGGTTGGGCTCCCTCTAGCCAGCAGGCAACCATTTATCAGTGAGAGTGCATTCTAAGTTTATTTGATAACAGTGCCTACAAGTGAAAGGCATTTTCTGGGATACTTTCCTGCCTCAAATCAGCCTTTAAATGAGATGTCTTTTTAGGTTCTTAAATATGAAATTAAAAGGTTCATATTTCTAGCCTAGATTATATTTCATCATTTCTAAAACCAGGTCTTACATAGATGAACAGTTTGTATCTGAATGGAAATCGATTTAAATAAATGCTGATGTGACCTTATTACTACATAAACCCAAAATCCCTTAAGATTTCCGAATGTATGAATTTGCTTGTCCTAATATTATTTCGTCTTATTTCAGAAATCATGCCAGAAACCGGTAGACAAATATATCGAGTACGATCCTGTTATAATCTTGATTAATGCTATTTTATGCAAAGCCCAGGCCTACAGGCATATTCTCTTCAATACTAAAATAAATGTAAGTTGTGATAATTATTTTATTTTCTAATTTTACTTGATGCTTTTGCATTTTAAAAGAATAATAATTTTGAACAGATGAAAGAACAGTGTTTTCAAAGAGAAATTCTGATGAGGGTGGGTCTTTTATCTTGGTGGCGTATGGAAGTTTCTAGAAATAGCAGGCATTGATTGTTTTTGAAAGATGCAATGTTTAGTGACTCTTTAAGAATGTCACTGGTAGGAAACTGGCAAATAATCGCCGGGTTCCTTTTTAGTAGGTTACCTTTCGAAGCAGACATCAATTATTTTTAACAGAATAAAATTAAATATATCCAGGTAGGGAGAGGATTACACCTGAAAGAAGCAAACATTAAAAGAGAACTATTTTAAAACAAACTTGTTGCATCTTATATTCTGCTCTCGAGTCACTGCGCAGGCAGATAACAACGTTGAGCTTAATCAGAAAAGTCCTGATTTATAAAGTCGGATTTTTCAAAATGTACATTTAGTGCATTGAGTCGTGAACTATTTAATAATTTGAGTCAGGTCGACAGATAAAATACAGAACATCCAATTAAATTAGAAAAACGGATAAACAATAAGTATTTTTTTAGTACGTGTCACAGATATTGCATAGAGCATATACATACAGAAAAGTTACTTGTTGTTTATTTGAAAGTCATTTAACTGAGCGTCCTGTGTTTTGACTTGCTAAATCTAAACCCGGCAGCCGTAAATGTGGGCTAACGTGGGCCCCTTCCCCGAGCTAAATAACCAGGGCGGTTTTTAAGTTACTAGAGCATTGGTTCTTGAGCTTTGCTTCGCATTGGAATCACGGGGGTGGTTACCCTTCCGAGTCAAAGTCTCCACCAGAGTGACTAAACCAGAGCCTTCGAGGATGGAGTCCAGGCTTTGGGGGGTCCTGGTGAGTCCCGTGCAGCCAGGAGGCCCGGCGTGCTGGCTCAGGGGCCCGGAAGCCCACCATGACGCCTGTCCCTGGGCTGCACAGGGTCTGCGTGTGCAGGTCCCACATGATGCCACCCACAGGAAAGAGACAGAGCCAGTTCACGTTCCCGAGTGTTCGCTTTGTCGGTCTCACAATAGCGTTGCCAGCTGATTCGCACCTTTTCCTTGCTGTCTTCCGACACATTCATTTATACTCATCCAGACCGGGGCATGTTTTTAAAATTCACGTTCAGACGAATAGTTTCTTATCATGGAATCTTCAGATCAAATGCTGGCTTTTTATTGCTGCTCCCACCTACCCACGAGTCACAAACATTCTGTGTTCGATCCTGTGTGTAGGACGAATGTAGAAAATGGAAGGAAGGGTGAACTACCACTTAGAGCGGCGATTCTGAAGTAGGGGTACACACCCGAAACCCCCGCCTCCAGAACTGTGTCAGACGGAATCCGACCGCGCGTCTCTGGGCGCCTCTGGGTTTGGAAAGCTGCGGGGTGGACGCGCGTCCCAGCCCCGCTCCCTGCTGTCTGGACCTGCTGGGGTTAAGGGCGGTCAAGTTCTTCATCTAACCGAATAGCGATGTTTCTGGCCCCCAGATGCACGGCAAACTCTGCATCTTCTGTCTGCTCTGTGACGCGTACCTCAGATGGTGGCAGCTCCAGGATTCGAACCAGAGCCCCGACCCCGACGACTTCATCAGATACGCCAAGGAATGGGACTTCTACAGACTGTTCACGGTGGCCTCGCTAGGTAGGGACAGGCCTCGCCTCTGCCCTAAGGTCACTCACATCTGTTGTCCTCGCAGAAGCGCGGGGCGCGGTAGGAGCAGCTGGTTCGCACAGGACTTGAGACCGAAGCTTCAGCTCCGCCTCTTCCTGCTGGGCACGTTCGTCTAAACTCTGCTTTCTTACTGTTTTGTTGCCCCAAATGTGCAGAAATACCATCGTTAGACAGTCTTTACCCTGTCAGATGGGTATTATCAGATTAGAGAGTTTCATAAAATATTTTGAGATAGGACATTGTTGACAAAATTCTTAAAGTTCTAATTATCCAATCTGAATATGACCCAGGTCCCATCTTCATTAAAACAGATTGATCATTGTCAGGCATTATCCAGTGTATTGTGCCAACGGCATTATACTAACGCAGAGCGTTTCATCGGGAACACTTACTTACCTGACCGTGCACAGGTAAACGGGCTGCTCCCCACAAGGCCTTCAGTTCAGGAGTTGCTCTTCTTCAGAAAAGGAATTTGTGTTGAATTAATTTGTGACTGTTATTACTTAACTGGTTTCCACGCTTCTCTGCTTCTAAAGTTCTTTTATTATAATGCGATGTTATTTGAGTGGTTAACACTTAGTGGTCTCTAGTCCATTCCAGGGTAACGTTTCTGCCCTGTGTGTGCACTGTGCCCCCTGGTCCTCTCTACCCACCTTCACTCCCTTCATCCTGACCTCCAGTCCTGTGGTTTTAAAGTTCATCTACATGCTAAGAATTCCCAAACGCACATGACGTTAAAAATATCCAAACACATCACCTAAGCTAGGAGCTGGAACCTAATAGAAATTTAAGCAATAGAGCAAAGCCTCTTAAAATTTCTAATGATAAACTGCTTCATGTCCATCATTTGTTTAAAAATTAAGCTTGTTTTCAAATACTTTGAAATTTCTCTCAGACCTACTCTATAGTGTATATTTTGATAATCAGAAATTTCTTTCTAGTTACTTTTTAACGTGTCTTAATCTAATCCATAATTAGGTTCCAAACCCCTAAAACAGCTTGTAAAAACATCGTACATAGATGGAGCACTTTAGAGTTCAAACACTGCTTTTATAGTGCTATCCGCTCAATTTTCCCAGCCATCCTCTTTGGTGGCAGGGTGGGGGCTCTGTCCTGTCTGCCGCTGGAGACAGACACAGGGAGGGAGGAGCCCCGAAGCCCCACAGCAGGTGGTGCCAGCTCCGGTGGGACGGTCCCCCGGCCCCTCCCACGTCCTCTCCACTGGGGCACCCACGGCAGTCGCCGGCAACAGCTCCTGCCCGACCCACGGGCCGGATGCCAGCCCTCAGAGGCGCAGGCCGCCGACACCTGCCTGTGACCACGTGCAGAGCATGGGGCTGGTGCGGCCTCCCCGGTTCTAGGTGAGGAGCGCATGGAGGCGCCCAGTCCAGGGCCACAGACCTCCTCTCTCTGCGTTCACGCACGGCGGCCCCACTCTGAGTTTCTCCCATGATTTTCATTATCTCCTTGTCCAAACTCCAGGCCGTGAGACCTTCCTGTTTGAGCAGATGCTTGCAGCTGACAAGCCCTTCAGTCCTTTTGAAGGGAGACAGCCTTGTCCCCTGAAGGCTGCATCACATATCATGGAGGTTAACCACCCTACATTATTTCGATTGATCCCACTCACCTATATTTGGAAGCTCTTTGGTTTGGCTGTATCCAGTCATAAAACATTTTAGAAGGCTACGGATGTCTCTCCTGTAATAGAATACATGTGTTCCAGAGAAACACGTGTCATTCTGCAGAAACCTCAGGAACACAGCTGCGGGACAGAGCACGCGGAGCATACGCAGCTGGGGACCAGAGGACCAGCCATCTTGATAGAAACAAGCTCGCAGGGGGACGGGAGGCTCTGGCTCGAGGGAACAGAACACACTGTCTCGGTTCCGCCTGGGGGCCCAGTGGGGGGCCCAGACCCTGTCTGCGAGTGCGTTCTGGGAGGATTAGGAATGGCACCCAGTTTGTTAAACTCAATACAGGAAATTTTTAGTTTAGGTAACAGAATTCAAGATCTCGTGGATAACAGGCACTCAGTAAATAGTGGAAAAATAAACAGAGACAACGGCTTTGTCTGTGGCTCTGAGGATGGTCCTGCCTCACGATATTTTTACAAGCTGTTTTAGAGGTTTGGAACCTAATTACGGATTAGATTAAGAGCCTCTGCTCTCGTGTCTTCTTTCTGTCAGGTTTCTACCTGGCACCGAGGACGTCGAAACAGAATGTAACTTCCAGGGAGCTTCGAAAATGGATGTTTACAGTCCTCTGGGGTTACTTCTTTTCAGTAGATGAAATACTTCAGAAATATATTTCCGAAATTATACCGGCAGGATTGACACAGAAGGCGGGGTTTTCTGTTTTTGTTTTTGTTTTGTTTTAAAGAGGAAGGGGGACATCGGTCTGGAGAAAGCGTTTCGTAAGACAGCCGCTAGCTCGTGCTTGGGGACGCGGTGGGGACGCAGACATTCACGCTCTGATCTTCCGTTGCCTCCTCAGAACAAGCTGCCTTTTTCGTCGGCATTTTTACTTTCCTGTGGGTAGAACGACCCATCACAGAAAAGAAAAAACCCAACTTCGTTTTGCTGCTGAAAGCGTTACTGTTGTCCAGCTACGGGAAGCTCCTGCTGATCCCGGCCGTGATTTGGGAGCACGACTACACGCCGCTGTGCCTGCGGCTCATCAAGCTGTTTGTCCTCACGTCGAACTTCCAGGCAATTAGGGGTGCGTTGGTCTTTTGTTTTCTCAGCTTTCAGCCCGTGTGGAAGCCGCTAGCCTTATTTCCGAGCACGGTTCTCACGTAACCGGTCAAGCACTGGCCGGCGTCAGACACACGGCAGCCCGGGGCGTCCCTGCCGCGCCTCGCTCCGCGCGTGTCCAGCGTGCGTTCGGTTTAACCGCGCAGCGCGGTTCGGTTTTCAAAACGCCCCCATCGCGCCATCTCCACCCCGTGGGGTTAGCAGGGCTCCATTGTCGCCTCCACGACGCGTCCGAACTCGCGTGGCCGGGCAGCTGGCGAGCCGGGACAGGCCCCGCTCGGCGTCACTTTCCCACGCGGCGAGGTCGGTCTTAGATGCGCTGATGCTTCGCGTCTCGTCGGCGCGGGACCCGACGGCATCAGTTTCCTCCTGCTCTTCTCTTTCCGACTTTAGAAACTACTTTTTATTTTTCCTTTTTACGCGAATGGGAACCTGCGTCCTGATCTCAGGAGCGTTTTCGTTAAAGCAGATGCTTTGGTTCTCGAAAGGTTTGCAGTTTGAAAAGTGGGAGCAGGTGACAGCGTAGATGAACGGGAACGAACGGGGACGTCCTAACCAGGCTTCGCGGAAACAGTTCCTGCCCCGCGCGACGTACGCGTCACCCGATAATCGCGGTGTCGTGGGAGCGAATTCTGGAGGACTTACCGGTCATCTCTGCTTCTCCAGTGACCCTGAACGTCAACCGGAAGCTGTCCTTCTTGGCCATCCTGAGCGGCTCCCTGCTGGAGAGCGCCATGGTCTACTTCTTCCAGAGGGTGGAATGGGACGTTGGAAGTGACTGTGCCATCTACAGGTCTCAGGACTTCTGAGGAGGTACACAGGCACCTTAGTGTTCACACCCTCAGGCAGGGGACCCTCCCGGACCAGACACGTCCCTGTGAGTAGACAGGGCCGCGTAGCAGCAGCCTGGCCCCGAGGCCTGCAGGACGGGAGTCCGGGTCTCCCCGGCCCTTCGCTTTGCTTTGCCGTCACCCTCATGGACGTCAGCGTCTGTGTCTTGTTGCATCTGGGGCCCGGTCCTCACAGTTCCTCCCGCACCCCGAGTCCAGCTCACTCCTGCTGTGACCTCAGGCTCTGGAACCTGTCGGGCCGACAGTGGTCCCCTGCCCGTCCCCACCACTCTGCTCCCATGCCCTGTCCCTGCTTTTGGCACCTGGTCTCTGTGACCTCTTTCTGCTCTGACCTCCCCGGCCTCCCCTGGGGTGCGGTGTCGGGAGGCCCGCAGTTTCCAGCCCTTCTCAGCAGGCCTGGATCCCTCTCTGGGGAGGGTCCAAGCCACAGCGTCCCCCTCCCTCCGGGGGCAGTCACTCCTGGTGACAGCCTGGGCCTCCCTGCAGTCTGCCTTAGGGTGTGGGGCTGGGCTGGGACGAGGGTGGGGGCGGGGTGGGGAAGCGCAGACGCAGAAGGAACTCCTCGCTGGTGACCCCGGGAGGAGCCGAGGCCACGCTGTCACACGCCGTCACTCCTCCCTCGGTCCCCGCCTCTCCCACACGTGTCGCCGCTCCCGTGGTCCGTCTCCCTTCAGGCGCAGGGACCCTCTTCCCTTCCGGGTCCTCAGAGACACTGCCCTTCGTAACCCTCTGGCCGCGGTGGCCCTGTCCTCTCTGCCGAGCGACGTCCATGCATCCTTGCAGACGGCGGGTCCCCACGGAGGCTCCCGCGCTGCCCTCAGGACAGTGGAACTCGGTGCCCAGGCCTTCAGCGTCCCCTCTCCCTGAGCTCTGTGCCGGTCGCCATCTGCGGGGCTGTCCTCCCGCGACCGGGTCCGTGCCGGGCGCTGTCCCTGTTCCCGTCTGCTGTCCGGCTGCGTGCACTTGGCTTAGGTGGCACTGTAGCCTGAAGCGACCTGGTGCGACCCCCTCCGGGTGGAGCAGCGCCCTGTCCTCTGTGCTCGTTGGTATCTTGCGTGGCTGCCTTGAGGCCGTCACCCTGCTCTGCCCATTAAGCCAGCCCTTTCCCGGCACCTCGTCCCGCAGAGGCCCCTGGCCGGCTTTTCCTCACTCCCGGCCCAGCCCCCTCGTCGCCCTGAGAAGTGGCTCCCCGGCCCTCGCCTTGGCCCCGGCCTTGGAGGTTTGGATGACTTCACTTGGTCTTATCACTTTCGATTTCCTTGTCCCCACTGAACAGTATGTCACACACTGAAGGCAACTGACTGCCACCCCTCATGACTGCTTTCAACACAGGAAATGGGCAGGAACGCTCTGCCTTCTCTACACCTCACCCCGGATGCTGATACATGGACGCAAACATGACAGGCTTTCAACGTGCTGGTTCGCAAGGCTGATTTCATGTCCTCTCTGACCCCAAAGGGGCACCAATCATCACCAACCGCGCCAGGAGCTTTCCCCGTGTCCCAGCACGTGTGGCCGCCCTCCCGGGCCGTCACGTTTCTCGGGCCTTCGGGACGGCAGTGTGGCCAGTCCTGCCCCTGCCGCGCCCCCTGGGCAGGGGGCTTGGAGCGTTCATGTGCATGGCAGTCTGCCGTGGCTGCAACACGTCCAAGAAAAGCCGAGAGAGGAATAAAGCTTCCTCCAAGTTCATGGAAAGAAAACTGACTTCCGGTCAAGATGGCAGAGGAAAACGCCGTGCTCACCTCCTCCCATGACAATTACAACTAAACTACAGAACAACCGTCACTGAGAACCACATGTACCGAAGTCCTACAACTAGGGACACACAGAAGAGGCCACCTTGAGACTGGTAGGAGGGATGTAGACAAGGAATGGGCAGGTCTCACACCCGCTCCTAGAGACCGAGAGGGAGACCGGACGCTCCGCCCCAGCGCCCGCAGTCACGTGGCCGGCACCTGCCCATGCTGTCGGGGGCCCGACGCTTGGTCCCCACTGCACAGGCTTCTGCTTGTCAAGCGTCCGTTACGGTGTCTGGCATCTGGCTGTAACGGCGCCATGTCACTTCATGTCTTACACTTAGTCTCACGTTAAAGTCCCAGGTGGCTGCGCCTGACTCCCCCAAACCGGGTAACGTTTGGTGCCAGGAGACCGTGCCTGAGGTGACTCCGTGCCTCCCGTCACTTGGGCCCGCCCTAATAAGTATGCTGATTTGATTTCAGCAGCACGAGACGTTCTAAACATTTCTTTCTTTATCCACAGTTCTATCCTTAACTGTTCGTGGCAGGACCAGCTGCATCATCAAAGAGAAGACGGCAGATACAACCAGATAGACAAGGAATGGGTAGGTCTCACACCCGCGTGTGACAGCTGAACATCAGGAGGGATGTCTCGGCCACGGAGGTCCCTTGAGAAGCGAGGAGTCCCAGCCCCACACTGGGCTCCCCCGCCCAGGGCTCCAGTGCCGGAGAGAGAAGTTCCCCCAATGTCTAGCTTTGAAGACCAGCAGGGACGGTGGCTGAGCGACACATAGGCAGCTGGAGTCCTGGGCGTTCTCTTAAAGGGCCCGTGCACACTTACCGCTGATGAACTCAGTCACTGAGCTTCTATGCTTGGGACACAGCTCAAAAGTCACCAGGGACACAGGGAGGGACTGAGTTGTCTGGCTTCAGGAAATAAAGCAATAGTTACGGCATGTGAAACCCCAGCCCTACCACAAATCACCCCCCCACACACACACACAGACACCCACAGAGACACCCCAACACGAGGGGCGCCGCTGCAGGGGCTCGTGTGTGCAGGGTGAGGATTGATACGCACAGACCTCTCCGGTAAGACTCGCACATAAAAAACATCCGTTTCGTTCCTTTGGCATGTTTATGTCTTTTTAATTTACATGTTAATGGTTCTAAATAATATATTTAAAATAGTATTTTGTGTTCTTACAGCAGGAGAAACACTTTTAATAAAAACCGAGCTTTTGTAAATTTTCAATCCCCTGTAACTAAGTTACTTTTTAAAATTAACTGATCCAGAAATAAGTAACTAAGAACAACTGAATTGTACACTTGACACGGGTAACTTTATTTCCAGAAAGCTCTTATTGAATAAAGAGAGAACGTTGCCTTCGCTTTTCCTCTCCCTGTCCCGTTCATCATCTCGTGACGTATTTCTCACTCAGCGGACAGTGCCGAGCGCCGCGTGTGTGTCAGCGCCACGGACACTGGTGCACACGACGCGGCCCTCGGAAGGTTCGCTGGCAGTGAGGGGTTTAGAAGTGTGAGTGCCGGGTGCTGAGTGCTGGAAGAGGGGGTGTGGGGCGCCCGGGAAATACGGAGAAGGAGCCCCTCCACTCCTGGAAGTCGAGAAGGTTTTCTGGGACGAGGGGAGAGGCAGGGAGCTTTCTAGTGTCCCTGGAAGGGATTGCCACTGCACGCAGAGCGTAATGTGCGTGTGGGGCCCTGAACGCACGCAGGGCAGGCGCGTGGGGTGCGGGTGGTGGGGGTTTAAAAACGATACTGGGAAGTCACATGAAGGCCGAATTATGGAGGGCCTCACGAGGTGTCATTTATCCTGGGGACAAAGAAACCAACACAGATAGTCAAGAATCCAGAGTGAAAACATCAAAGCCTACTGGGGCGACACAGAACAGCCACAGGATGGCGAGGTGCTGACCGGGCCGAGCCTGTCAGTATTGAGAGGGAGAAGACCCGGCTCAGGACTCCAGCCGAAAGGAAAAGCAATTAAAAAGCAGGTGTTCGGGACAAGTGGCAACAGATGCGACGCACCGATCCTAACGGTCACCTCTTCGATCCGTTAACTCCTAAGTGAAGAGAAACATCACCCACTTTTACGTTCCTACTCAGTATGTCCCCCGTTTTTCTCGATCACCATAAAGGTGTTTGTTCATCTTTTTTAAAAAAATCAAGTGTTAGATGCCCCTCCCTCGGTGGCCGCGAGGTGTCCGTGAGTGCTGGGCAGCTGGGGCTGTGGGACACGGCCTCCCCGAGTGTGGCGTTAGGCCCCGTCCAGAGTGTCACTGCCCGTCACTCCGTGGGAGAGGGGAGGAAGGGTCAGCCGCCTGCAGGAGGAGGGCCGGCAGGCTGCCTTCCGGTGGCCAATGGCACACTCGGAGACAGTCCCTGGTCCCCCCACTGCCAGCCCCGGTGGTTCAGCCCTGGACTGCCAGCGACCCTGCAGTTCCTGTGAAAAATGTCAAGGGTACGAAACAGTTGAAGGCATTGTGCAGTGAAAACACATCTGCCACCCAGATTTTATCATCGTTAAGTTTTGCCCCGACATTCAAATCTGTTTAAACGTGATTCAGGGCCAGCGGCGTGCTCGGCGACACCGGGAAGTCACAGGGCGGTGGCGGTGCCTGGTGCTTCGGGGGTGTCCCTGCTCTCCAAGCCACCCTCGCCCCGACTGAGACGCGCTCTGACAACAGAGGTGTCGTGAGGATCCCCTCGAAGGCATAAAAAGTCGCCTTTAGCCGCCCCCATTTTTGTTGAAAGGCACGTGCTCTCGGTCACCCCAGAACACTGGCCTCCCAGTCACAGCCGATTCTCGCCACACGGTGGCGACACCGACAGCCCACTCCTGGCTCTTGCGTTTTCAACACAGCCAGAGAACCAGAGCGCAGAGTCTGAGAAGCTACAGAGAAGGACAAGCGGTCTTTGTTACGAGATTTTCCATCAGAGCCTTTGAAGCCCTTGGGGCTAAATCGGGAAGAAAACATGCTGAATATGAGCCAGAGAAAGGGTCTTTCCAGCCATTTGCAGGACAAAAAGCCATGAATAAGAAATCAGAAAGATATTTTAAACCGCGATCTTACGTGAAGAAGCTGGAGCTTAGAATGGGCAGAGGCATCTGCTCAAGTCACACGCGCATACGGGGACAGAACCGGGACCAGAACCTCGGTCTCGGTCCTGGGCTAACGGAGGCCCCGGGTCTTCGTCGCCTCGTTCAGAGATGATTTGCTCTTCTTCAAATAAGGTTAGGAATAAAGAACAAGTTTAAAATAAACGGGGACTCAGCTGACAGGAACCACATAGAAATATCAGTCCTGCGTCCCCGAGGGAAGAAGCCGCAGAGGACGACGAGCAATTCGGGGTGTTCTTTCCTCGGTGGAAACCAGGCCCGAACCAAGGCGGTTTCCGATGCGTCGTGCCCCCGGGACCTAACGCGTCCAGCCACAGCCCCCGGCGTACCGCTGGGGACTTCTCGAAGGCACGTGTCCCCAACCCGAGACCGAGTGTCAAGTATCCTCTGCATCCCGGAGAGCAGCAGAGGGAGCGCCTCCCCGAAGAGCCTCAGCTGTTCGTTCCTACTTAACAAACATGCGTATAGACTATCGCTTTGGGCCAGACGCCCTTGTAAGCGCTTTATGGTCGCCGACTCCTTGAATCCTCGTCATAATCCTGGCGGACGCTGAGGGTCCATCCGGAGATGTATCCTGAGTGCGTCTGTCGAAAGGGTTGGCACGGAGGATTCGGCCAGCAGACGAATGACGCCGTCCCCTCCCGACACATAACTAGCTAAGAAGGAAAGGAGCACGAGGGTGCCCAGGAGTCTGTCACCCTCCTGCGGATGTGAAACAAACTGCCACACGCTTGGCGGTTTCAAACACACACACATTTATTCTCCCCCAGTTCTGGAGGCCTGGAGTCCAGAGTCCGCCTCACCGGGCCCAAACCAAGGCGTCAGCAGGGCCACGCTCCCTCCGGGGGCCAGAGGGAGGATCAGCGGATCGTCCCTTGCCTCGCCCAGCTTCTGGCGGCTGCTGCCATTCCTCGCCTTGTAGCCACGACAATCACCATGCCATCTTCACAGCGCCTTCTGGCTCTGCCTCTCAGAAATGTCGTGATGACATTTGGGACCCATCTGGGTAATTGAGGATAATCTGGTGATCTCAGATTCTTAATCACATCTGCAAAGGCCTTTTTTCCAAATAAGGTAACATTTACGAATTCCAGAGATTATAGCTTTGGCCTAGATATCTTAGGGGCGGGTTTCAGCCTATCCCCAAATCATCTGGCTAATAGCGGCCCCCTCCCCCCACACACAAATACACACTCTCCCAAATTGGAGCAGGACTCTGCTGTGACAGTCTCAGGGAGGCAGACTTCAGGGCATGACAAAGCTCTCGGAAAGACGCCTGCTCTTAGAGCTGCCGGGGCAGAAGCTCCCCGACCAGACGTGCATGATGGAGGAGACCCCGGCTTTGGCCAGGAGTGGACCCCACGTAACCCTTAAGAGTCCTTTGCAACATCTAAACCATGCCATTCTGTCTTCTCATGTCTTCCAGGAGTCACCTTGCTGGGCACATTTGGCAGGAAAACGCCAAGGCTCCAGAGCGGAGCGTTCACCTCTACCTGTGGCCTTAATTCGGACTCAAGGTCGGAACGCTCTGTGAGCAAACAGGGCCCGTTTTTCCCATAGCAGGTGCTTCTGTGCTGGCTCGACACCTGGTTTCATCTTACCTGCCCTGCCCTTGGGTTCCCTTTGTCCTGATTTCTGAACTCGCTTTTTACAAAACTGATCTTATTGTGTGGTGTGAATTTTTGCAAAGCAGCCTTAAATCGTTTTTGGAAAAGCGTGGGATATAAATCACACTGATCCATTTACAATGACACACGAGCATGTCCCAGAGCCTGCCTCCCGCCCTGGGGGCGGGCTTCCTTCTGTCCGTCTTCGGCGCAGGGGCAATAAGCTCGATCCCAGGTGTTGGGTTGGCCTCTCCCGTTTGAGGTCCCAGCAGACTTCAGATGCTCCGGTCGGGCACCTGAGCCCGCACAGGTTAATGACCCCAGAGATGGCCATCGGGGTACGTCGGATGTCAAAAAGTCACATGGTGTGTGACGACAGGGCACTCGGTTGAATTTGTCTTCTAGGATTTCGGCCAGAAAGGCAGATGGGCGTCGGCCCCCAGAGGGCCAGCACCCGGGGGAGGCGCTGGACAGACACTGCAAGGGGCGACGGGGGAGGGGCTGCCCTTTCTCCCAGCCCCCCTCCACCCGGCTCCCCGGGGCACCCACACTCGGACACATGCCAGGGAAGTGGCACTATTCCCAGCCTGCCCTGCGGCCTCGAGTCCCCAGGCCCCCGGCCGCCGCGCTGGGCGTGGCGTTCCAGAGCTTTCCTGTCTCCAACGCCAGGTACCCCGGCCGTCGGGCCGTCCGAAACGGTCTCCCCCTTCACCCCTCCTACCCGGTCTGCTCTGCCATCCCGTCATCCCGACGGCGGGAGGAAGGGGAGGAGGGCGAGGCGCTGTCCTCCCTCCGCTCCGGAACAGAGCTCAGCGCTAGCTTCTCCTACGCGGACCCCTGGTGAGGGCCTGGGACATGCTCTCGGGGCTGAACGGTGACTGCGTCTAACGCGAGTGCTCCTCCCGCCAACATCGGCCTCCCCAGTAACCGGGGGCTCTGCATTCCTGGGTTCTGCATCCCCGTCGTCACTTACTTCCATCTTGGAGGTGGCATGGGAACCAGGGGAGGGGGTCTCGGAGCTGCTGCCCCGGCTGGCCGGGCGGGACGATCCCGTCCCAGCTCCGATGTCACCTCCGCCAACGTCCCCAAGTATTTGCCGAGTCTCCTTCGAGGACCCAGTGGCCCACGGTACCTCCTGGATCCCAACACTGAACCATGCGTGTGAGGCTGTTTGGGGACCATCGTGTCCGCAGATGTTCTTCCCGTGACTCATCCGTTCCCTGTGCCTGGCTGGGCGTGACCCGGAAGGACGCTAAATGGATGTCAGTTGAATGAATGACATCACCCGCGGTCATACGCGAAAGCCAGGAGTCAGGTCGGTTCGTGACACCCAGCAAGCGAAAGGGGCTTTTCGTTAACGGCCGCGTGTCACCTGCAGGGAGAGCACGGCTTCCTCACTGTTCTGCCTACCAGGCGCTCCGCTGGCCGCCGGGAAGCACGACAGTCCCCCTCTGAACCTGAAGGCGGTGGCCGATGCCACGTAGCGACAGGGGACATCGGCGGATTTGTTTTCCAGTCATCTCTGCGACCTCCGTGAGGAGCACACGCCAGAACACACTTCCCGGTGTGGTAAACCTCAGTGTCCCCCGCCACGCCGTGTTCTCAACAGTACACCACATTCGGAGCGAGAGAGAGTTTGGGGTGATTTATGTGTATTTCAGATGGCGTTATTAAAAACTGCAGTGGTTTATGCGTACGTGTCACTTCTCCATCGGGGCGAGGCATGTGCCAGCCCTTCCCACGCCGGGGCCCCCTGACTCCCTCTACCTCTGACTCCGACAGGCCACCCAGCAGGAGGACAGGAGGGCCCAGCGACCCAAGGCACTGGCCGCGAATCATCGCAGTTCCAGAAAATGCAGAGGTGCAGACCCAGGGGAAGCGCGCACTGTGGGCTAGGGGGCTCCCCCGCCTGAGGCAGCAGCAGCTGTCAGCATGCCCCGAGGGGACCGGGTCTCCCGGCCTGCGGGCTGGGCTGCTCTCCAGTGCCACCGGGACTTGGGCAGCCTCAGAGCAGCAGTGCGGGCGCTGGGTGGACATAAGGCGGAGTTTCCAGAACTTGGCGCAGAAGACTCATCGGTGGCATCTTTTTAAGACGCGGGGCCAGACTTAGTGGGTCCAGGTGGGGCATGAGATTATGCATCTCTGACGTGTTCCGGTGACGCCGGCTCCATGGACCATATTCTGAATACTAGATCTCCACTGGGTCTGCAGGAACATCACCTGGGGGAACCTCTATAACCAGGCACGGGCCCAGGCCTCACCCCTTCCTAAGGAATCGGTGATGGGGGGCGGTCCTGGGACAGGCTTAATATCTTTCTAAAAGACCCCAAGAGATTCTAGTGTGATCAGGGTTGGGAACAGCCGACCTGAGGTTCGGCTCATAGTTGGGGCCCAGCCTCAAAGGAACCGCTTCCGGCGGGTTGGATGACTTCACTCGGTCTTATCACTTTCGATTCCCTTGTCCCCACTGAACAGTATGTCACACGCTGAAGGCAACTGACGGCCTTCACGCCCCTCACGACTGCTTTCAACACAGGAAATCGGCAGGAACGCTCTGCCTTCTCTGCGCCTCACCCCGGATGCTGATACATGGACGCGAACATGACAGGCTCTCAATGTGCTGGTTCGCAAGGCTGATTTCACGTCCTCTCTGACCCAAAAGGGGCACCAATCATCACCAACCGCGCCAGGAGGGGCAGGGGGCTTGGAGCGTTCGTGTGCATGGCAGTCTGCCGTGGCTGCAACACATCCAAGAAAAGCCGAGAGAGGAATAAAGCTTCCTCCAAGTTCATGGAAAGAAAACTGACTTCCGGTCAAGACGGCAGAGGAGGAAAACGCTGTGCTCACCTCCTCCCATGACCATTACAACTAAACTACAGAA